GAAAGCCGAAAATGGGATAAATGATCTACGAGGAATGCAGACATTGATGTTTTGCCATATTTATCTCAAACTTTATCCAAAATTCATCAAAGCTGACACGCGTTTTAAGAGCTTGAGGACGCTTGGTGCACACTGGAAGTTATAATTGTGTGATATAATAAAAAAAATGCTAGGTAAATCATTCCTTATAGGTAACAGGCCGTTGTGCCGGCTGAAAGTGTAATTTGTTTGACTGAAAATACGCGTTGCTATTCTATAGCAGTAAAGTCCACGTAGCGTGCTTTAACGTGCGTAATTGCACGTTTTCGGCATTACCCCAGCCAGCCATACTTTCATTTGCAGGCCCATAACTTTTAAACGTGCTGTATAAATTTCAAATAGGCAGCACACTTATGCAAAGACATGCTGAAGATTACTTGACCGAATTGGCCAGACAAACGGTAGCATAATGAGTAAGAAATGCAGCTTCAAAGGCGCATGTAGTACAAGGGAAACGTACCTTGAAAACGCTTTTGGCGCCCTCACAGCCGAAGTATTCCAAATGACAACTCGTAACAAACATGCGATAATTGTAGTCACTTAAGCTTCAGAGCATCACTGAGACGTGGCATCCATGTCGTACGGTTTTAGAAATATCTCGAATTTCGGCTTTGCCCCAACTCCGGCATTGCCCCAACTTCCCCTACGAGATATGAGATAGGAGTCTCTCCAGGGAGCGGTGGGCAAAACGCGTGTACCTATGTGGTCGAAAATTTCTGACGTTTCTGATCCATCTTTCGTCAGAAGCGTCATCCTCAGCTATAACAATCGTTCTCTCGTCAGTCCTCAGCGATTTATGACATCTTATCCAGGGGTCATGCCCGGTAGCCGACCCCATGGGCATAGACCCGGGAACAGGGGGGGGGCAGCGGGGGGCGCTTGCCCCCCCCCCCCCCAACTTGGGAGCTGAGGGGGCGGCGCCCCCTCAACATTGAGGCAGCGAGAAAAGATCTTTCCTCCCTTTTCCGGACTTCTTTCCTTCTTGTTTCTTTTATGCATCTAAACATCAACACACGGCATTTTCCTTGCCATCTGAATGGTTTCTGCTGATACAATGTCGATTTGACAACATCTGCTATTGTCATCCCGCTTTGATTTGGGCCTGACCTTGGCCATAAGTTTGGCAGGCCAGATTTTATACTGTACCAGCTTGAGTCAGCTTTGAGAAATACATAACGTACAACGGTGGTAAAATCGTTGCTATAGGTATAACACAGTTTACCCGCTCCGGGTGAGATGGAGGGATGTGGGGCAATGAGTGCACTGACGTGGCGCCCTCGGAGGGCCGGTATGGGATTAAAGCTCAGCGACACTAAGGGCTTATGTGGTGCCTTCAGTTATCGGTAGCATCCTCAGAATCACCGGCGTAAGGGCCCTCAGAGCCGCCGGTAAGGGGCCTTTAGAGGCACTGATCATGGTGTGGGGCCGCCATGCACTATGCAGGTGCCGGTGTGGGCGCTGAGGTGCTAGTGTGATTCTCTCAGAGGCGCCGGTGAGGGTCCTTACAGGCGTTGCTGTGGGCCCTCATAGACGCTGGTGTTGAGCCGTTACAGACGGGTGTGGGGTCTTTTGAGCTGCTGACGCGAACCCTCTACAAGGCGGCAGGGGGTTCTCAGTGATCGGCAAGGGGCCCTTAGGCCGGCAGAAGAAGTCCTGTGGGGTCCTTGGAGACCGGCATGGTATAACTGTCAGACGCCGGTGGGGCCCTCAGGGCTCAGAGTCACCGGTGTGGGGCCCTCAAGTCACCAGTGGGTGGCCTTTAGATGCGCAGGTGTTGGTTGGGTCCTCAGAGCCGCCGATATAGGGCTTTAATAGGCACTGGTGTAGGCACTCGGAGTTGGGGGTGTGAAACGCTCAGAGGCACCGGTGTGGGCCCTCATAGGCGCCGATGAGGGCCCCCACAGTTGCCGTTATGGGGCCCGCAGAAAAATAAGTGTGTGACCATCACAGGCAGGAAATGCCCCTAGAACTGGCCCCTCATAGGCCGGTAAGAACTCTCAGAGGCCAGTAACGGGCCTTTGGAGACCACCGAGGGGCCCTCCGAGGGGCCCGAAGTCTGCAAAAGGCCCTCAGAAGCCGGCGTGGGGCCCTTATGGAGATCTTAGTGTGGCTATTTAGGGTCCATGAGGTGCTCTAACGAGCCCCATGGGGCCCTTCTGAGTAGAAATATGGCCATCGTTAACTCTCAGCGGTCAAATGGCGCCGCAGGGCCCCTCGGACCCTAGGGTCCCTTTGAAGTTTGAACCCGATGGGGGGGGGGGTACGTGTCCCCTTAGACTCCTAGCTACGCCACTGTTTCATATGCATCATGTCAGGCATTTTAGGCTCGCCCCCCCCCCCCCCCAACTTGAAAATCGTTCCCGGGCCCCTGACCATGGGCCATGCTACTGCCTCCGTATACTGCATTTAACCACATAATAAACGTGTCATGTTGATTGTAGATGTGATGTAAAACAGCCGTATCATCTGAATACAATGGCGGGCGGGCGGGCCGGCTGTGGCCCTCCCCTATAATTAGTACGGTGAGCCGTGCAGGGGGCGGGGGGCGGGGGGAGGGTATCTCCGGGTCAGTTCCCACCAGGAGTGACGTGACGTCACTAGCCGCTCATCGTCTCCAGAAATTGTCCGTTGTGCTTAGTAAGTGATCCGTCTCCGATTCCTCAGAGTTTAGGGTTCGGCGAAAAGGGCTTATGTCGTCTTCTGCTGTCCCGTGCTTACCGGACACCCGCACGGACGGAGCACCCATAAGGGCGGAGGGCCAAGGCATAAAGTGACCGTTGCAGCTGACTTCCAAGTGACATGTGTTATCCGGATCATCGAATAGCAATTATATGTTTGAGGTTCTCGCCTATCGGGGCTGACCGTTTCTCCACTGTTCGCCGACAGGTCAGTTCCTGGCCGACGCTGACCGGCCGCAGGAGGCTGCTGACATCTACCGGCGGGCGGCCGAACTAGCGCCGCACGAGTACGAGATGGTGTTCAACGCTGCCAACATTCTCCGCCAGGCGGCGCGCAACGAGGAGGCCGAACACTACTACCGGATCGCCGTCCGGCTCCGGCCCAATGTGAGAGACGCCCCGCGGTCCTCTCCCCGACCCCCGTACCAACTGTCCAATAGTCATGTCCGTCCGGCTCCGCCCCAATACGAGGATCGCCTCGCGGTCAATAACTAACTCCCTGATCTCCGGTACCCTGATGAGGGCTGAGTCCTGAGATACGTCCGGCTCCAGCTCAACGTTAGCTCGTCCCGCGGTCCGCCACCCGCTCCCAGACCCCAGTAGTTACAACAAACTGTCCTGGCGCGGGCCGACGTCCGGCCGGGCTGCCGCGTACCCAGCGCCATCTAGAACTATCAGCTCGGATTATAGTCCGCGTGTGCCGAGCTCGTGTTTTGTCACGCGAGTCCTGTCAGGGTGTCTAAATGCCCTTCATGTTTACGGGCTTTATCGTACGTCCGATGTCCTGTTCGTGACCAGCTCAATGTGTTATACATTGCATTGACCGTCTAAATTTGGTGCCCGATTTGTTCAGTCAGCTCGTTCTGGTCGATCACAGATGGTCGCCGTCCCCCGTAAGTCAGTGGTGAGGCCTCGATGGTGCATATAATGACCGAGGGTGTCGCCGTGTCTCTCCACAGGAGGCCACCAGTCATATGAACCTGGGCGCCATGCTGCACGTGAACGGGAAGCTGGAGGAGGCCGAACAGTCGTACCTGGCCGCGCTGCGCATCCGACCCGACGAACAGGTAACTATGGTTCAACGGTCACCCACACCTCCCCAGGGCAAGAAACGGTGGATTCATGTTCATTGCTCAGCCCGCTCAGCAAGAGCACAGCACGAGCTCCCCTCCCCTTCACTCGGTAGTCGGTACTTCTCACCCGTGCAGGGACACTGCGACTCACCCTATCCCCCGCCCGAAACTGGGATGTAATGGCTCGTCTTCAGAGGGTGACCGCACCAAGCATCTGGTTCTGGCTTAGGATGACTATAAGGACCTGTCCTGAATTATATCTTCTAGCAGCTGATGAGCTCATGTTGCGCTGTCTGTCTTACGCGGCTGGCTGAAGATAAAACTGTGTCATTCCCGTTGTCTGCCAACCCCTTTCTTCTACCAACGGCACTGGACACCCAGCTGACCTCACTCATACCGTTCGCTGCACGCGTAGCCACTGTCCTATCACCCGTCCCGATACTGCGCCCAGCTGACCCCCCGTTCCGTCCGCGGCAGATCACCAAGACGAACCTGCAGAAGCTGCGCCACCTCTTCTCCAAGAGCCGGAAGGGCGGCAGCCGTCGGCGATGAGGGCGGCCAACGCGTCCTTCGTCTGTGATACCGACCGGGGCGCGGGCCGCCGCCGCCCGGCCTCACCCACACCAAAGAAAGACGAGCGCCGCGCCGCGCCGCCCGCCGGCCGGCCCCGGAGCTCCGCCCGAACCGGCTGGCAGGGGCGGCGCGGCCGCTCCTCTGACGTACTTTCCCCGAGTGGTCAACTCATGCTGTGGTGCGCGGCGGTAGGGAGGTTGTTTTTTAATTTAATCATCAGAAGGTATTACTCTAGGACTGTGGAGGCAATATGTCGTCGGACAGCGCCGGCCGTGATACGCGGGCCTTCTCTCGGGTCCGCGCGTTGTTTGTTGTGCTGCGCGCCGTGGGCCGCGGACGCAGGGGGGACGGACTCTGGCCGGCCGCGGCGGGTCGGGAGGCGGGGCTGCGAGCGACCGCCAACCATCTGTGATTATGTATGTGCTACTAGCTGTCATAGACAATATATGTTATACTCATTGATCGTGCTGTGTTGTTGGCTGCCACACATCGTACACGGTCGATTTCCCGAACGATTATATAACCCTGTGAGTCACATTCGCCCAAGGATTTTTACGAACTCCGCTGAGATCACGAACAATCGGTCACGGCCTCTCGATCACGGTTCCGAACACCTCAGACATTGAAACAGGTCGGCTGCACCACTTCCACAATGTTATTACCACGGGCGCTCGCCACACGTCGACACGGCGTACAAAACACGCACCACCCGACCTCCCACACCACGGCGAGTATCTACACCAACCGATCTGAAGCACGATGACATGGGTCAACCAATAAACAGCTCTGTCGCGCCGGCGCACGACAATAACAATGAATCACGGCGGCCGCGGCGCGGCGACCGCCGATGAGTGGGTCGGACGTCAGCGCGCGCCGCCGCTGTGACTGACACCAAAAATGAAGCGTACGTTTCAGACATGGCGCAGGCACCTAAAATATACAAGCGGAGTAAAATGCAGCCTTTGTACAGGGGCCGCGCTGGGGCGGCCCGGCGAGTGGTAGCGCGCGCCTACGCAACTCAGCGAGGCGAGTTCCAGAGCGGGCTCCTGACGTCACCTCGGTTAGTGGCAGAGTGACGTCATCGGTCCGTCGTCCCGGTCTCACGGCGGTACAGGCAGATCTAAAAGGGCGCACAGGACAATACCAAACAGCTCTGATCCCCTCCCTCCCCTCCCGCGGGCGCCGAGCGGCACCCCGATTGCATCCCGTCCGTGGCGGGCTATCACAGCTGCCGGCCGGCGCTCAGAAGAACGGGCTGCGGGTCACGCCCGGCGGCTGGAACGGCTGGCGCAGCGACGAGAGCGGGTAGCCGGGCGGGTAGCCGCCGGCCGCCGCGCCCATCAAGCCCATCATGGCGGCGCCGGCCTGGTGCTGGCGCAGCAGCTCCTGCTGCCGGTAGTACTGCTGGTACGAGACCAGCGGGCTGTCCGAGCTCAGCGGGTGGCCGCGCCCGCCGAACGGCGGCGTCAGCAGCGGCGCCGGCTGGCCGGCCGGCGAGCCGCCGCCGCGCGCCGGCCCGCCGCCCGCCGGGTTCTGGTGGGCCGGCTGCGGCGAGCGCGCCTGGCCCAGCAGGTACGGGTAGCCGGCGCCGCCGCCCAGCGCGTGCGACTGGAAGCCAGCGGCGCCGAGCCCCAGCGCGCCGTAGCCGCCGCCCGACATGAGGCCGCTCAGGTTCAGACCGCCGCTGGCAGACGAGACGGCCGCAGAGGAGACGGGCGCCAGCGAGGGCCGCGCCGCGCCGTCCTGCCGACCGGCCGCCGCCTGCTGCTGCGGCGGCGCCGACTGCTGCTGCTGAGCCTGCTGCTGCTGAGCTTGCTGCTGCTGGAATGCTTTCATCGACTGCTGTTGCTGGTGGTACAGCTGCATGTGCGGACTGGCCATCTGTTTGTAGTAGGACACGGAGCTGTCTCCCCAGGGGATCTGGGCGGAAGGCATGGACGAAGGAACCGAGTCCTGCACGTCAGACTGCTCACTAGACAGCCGCTGCTGCTGTTGTTGTTGTTGCTGCTGTTGTTGCTGTTGCTGCTGTTGCTGTTGTTGCTGCTGCTGCATCTGTTGCATTTGCTGTATCTGCTGTTGCCTTTGCTGTTGTTGACGTTGTTGCATTTGTTGTTGCATTTGCTGTTGTTGCATTTGTTGCATTTGCTGCTGCATCTGTTGCTGTTGTCGTTGTTGTTGTTGTTGCTGCTGCTGCTGCTGCTGCTGTAGTTGTTGTTGCTGTTGCTGTTGCTGCTGCTGCTGCTGCTCCTGTTGCATTCTCTCTTTTTCGCTCTGCTGCTCAGCCATTTTCATCTTTTGTTTCTGTTCGAGCAGTTTAACCTGCTGCTCCAGCTGTAACTTCTGTTGCATTACCTTCTGCTGCTGCAGCGCCGCCTGCTGCTGCTGCTCGGCGGCCTGCTGCTGCTGCTCGGCGGCCTGCTGCTGCTGCTGTTCAGCCGCCTGCTGCTGCTGCTGCTGCTGCGGTAGGCGGGTGACCAGCTGGGACAGGTGCGCCAGGTTGCCGGGCAGTTGGCCGGCCGCCGGCGCCGAGTACTGCGGCGGCGGAGGGCCCGGCGGCGGCGACTGGCGCTGTGCCTGCTGCTGCTGAGGCTGAGCAGGCGGCGGCTCCTGCGGCACGCGCTTCTTCAGCGGGTAGCCGGGCCGCTCGTCCTGCGCGGGAGTCTGGCCGGCCGGAGCGGCAGCCGGGGCCGGGGGAGTGGCGGGTACCTCGGCAGCGGTCCGGCCGGCCGGCGGCGGCGGCCCGCTCGGACTGGCCAAGGCGGGTGCCGGCCGCTCCACGGACCCGCTGGGACTGGACAGGTCGGTGGCGGAGGCCGGGCTGGCCGAGGTCGCTCCCGGCCGGGACACCGCCGGCGCCGGACTGGACACTGAGGTCTGCGGGGCCGCCTGCCCGGCCCGCATCCCGGACGGTGCAGTCTGACTTACCGAGGTGCCGGGCGGTGACCGCAGCGAGCCGCCGCCGGGACTGGCGCCGGGCCGGGCCGCCGGGGAGGACAGCGGCTCCGACTGCCGGGCCGCCAGGCCGGACACCTGGGGACTGGCCGGACCGCGCGCCGGGCTGCCGCGCGCCTCTGCCGGCGAGGACACGCTGGCGACGGAGCCGGGCCGCGCGCGCGGAGACTTGTCCGGACTGGCCGTCTTGGCGGCCACGTCCTGATAGAAGCCGGGCTTGGCGGCGCCCACCAGCCGAGCCGTGTCCACGGCGGGCGCGTGCTGCGGCGAGAAGGCCGGCGAGCGCTGCGCCGCCTCTGCCGGCGACACGATGCCGCCGGCCGGCGTCAGCGGCGACTTCTCGCTCTCCGAGCTGGTGACGTAGAAGGGCGAGCGGCCGCCGGCGGCCGGCTCTAGCCGCTGGCTCTCGCGCGCCTTCACCTGCAGCCGCACCTTCTCCAGTTCGTCGTCGTCGTACTCGTAAGGGTCGGCGTCCGGCTGTGGCGGTGCCGGCGGCGGCGAGGCGGCGCGACGCCAGCGCGGCCGCGCCGGGGAGGCGGGCTTGGCTGCCGGCGCGGCCGGAGGTTTGGCAGGGGATTGAGCGGCGTTCGGCGCTGCTGCTGGCGACGGCTGGGACGCCTGGGAGGTCGGCTGAGTGACCGCCGGCGCCGGAGGGGGCTGCGGAGCGTCCGCTGGGGCCCGCGTCACGGCCGGAGCAGGGGCAGGGGCAGACGCCGCAGGAGGAGCGGGGGCGGGGGAGGAGGTGGGGACCGGAGCCGCGGCGGAGGCGGGAGTGGCCGGCGGCGTGGGCGCCACCTTGCGTGGCTCCGACTCGGCGCGTTTCTTCTGCTCCGGCGGCGGCGGCCGCTTCACGCGCGCCACAGAGGGCGCTGCCGGCGGCTCCGGCGCCGCCTGAGAGCGGAACGCATGGAACCAGGCGCTCAGGTTGGGCGTGGCCGACTTTTTGAGCACGGGCAGCTCGCTGCCCACCTCTGGCTCGACGATCAGCTTCGGCGGCTCGTCGTCGCGCCGCTCGGGCAGCACGGGTTCGGCCTTGAGCCGTTTGCCGACCATCTCCTCCCAGAGCTCCTCGCCGGTTCGCTCCGGTTCCTGGTACTCGCCGCGGCTGCCCAGCACCTTGCCCATGGTGAGGCCGGGCCGGCCGGCCAGCAGCGTGGTGCCGCTGCCGCGACTGTCCCGCACCCGCGAGATCAGCTGGCCCAACTTGGCACTCTCCTCCTTGGAGATGCAGCGGCTGCTGAAGAGCGGCTTGGCGCGCGGGCCGCGCGAGTCGACGGTCGGTCGGGGCGCCGGCGCCGGCGACGGTCGGCTGAGCGCCGGATCGACGGCCGGCGGCTGCCGCCAGATGGCACTGTCGTCACTGTCCGACCCGGAGCCGGGCAGGGGGGACGGCGAGCGAGAGCGGGCCGCCGCCGGACCCTCGGCCGCGCCCGACGCCGGCGAGTCCTGTAAGCACGGAGGGCAGTCGTCAGACGAGTCCAGGTCAACAGCAGAACGACAGGGGAGTTGACACTGAACCAGCGTTTGTACAGGTCTGGCGGGTTTTAGCGGTAGGTTTTGCCCCTATGAAATTTAGTAAATTTCTGGCTATATCTTCTTCGTCTTAAGCTTTTAAGGGTTGAAGATGCAATCGATTTATTCGTACACATGCCAGCCATTATCCTCTAAAAATGGCTTCATCGTATATCTATTTATTAGTTTTTGAGGTATAGTCGGAAATGAAAAGGCAAAACTTACCGCTTAAACCCGCGAGAACCGACTGGACCGACACTATCACGAGGCGCTATTGCTGTTATAAGAGATTAAGCACCGAACTGACGATGCTGAGCAAACGGCAATACATAATACTGAGCTATGACACAACAGCAACGCAAAGGGCAATATGCATAGGCGTTTGCGTACAACACTGCTGCAGAATAAATTGACTTTTTGGCACTCAGTAGATAAAGCGACAAAGAAGACTGAGACGTGTTCGTGCAACATAAGAAAACAGTATTTCGGAAAGTAATTATGACGCCTGAATTGAGGCAGCATTGCTTAGAAGACAAGTAATCGGCATGCCAAAAAAAAAAGATCGTCCGTACCGTAGCATTCAATCCCAGGATGGTAACTTAAAGTGAAATAGATAAAAAAACATAAGTCGTAATTCAAATAACATTCAATCTAGAGCGGCCAGAATCGCTTCATTCTGACAGATTCAGTCTCCTCCCCCGCCGCGGCTCACCTTGGCAGAGTCGGCCGCACGCCGCTCACTCTCCCGCCTCTCCCGCTCTCGCCGTTTCCGTTTTTTCTTCTTGCTGCTCTTCTTCTCCCTGCTGTCCGTCCGCGACCTCTTTTCGCCCTTCCTCCTGAGCTCTCGGTCGGGCCGCTCGGCGCCGGAGCCGGACTCCTCGGCGGTTTTCTCCGACTCTCTGTCGGCGGCCTCACGGGAGGAGTTGCGCTCCTCCCTCTCGGCCGCCGCCAGCCGCCGGCGCCGCATCTTGGCCGCGAATATCCGGCCCTGGGCGATGGCCTTTTTCGGGGAGCCGCCGTCGCTCTCGTCAGAAGACGCTGACACGGCCGGGGCGGGAGCGGGGGCGGGGGCGGCGGGCGGCGGTGTGCGCGGCGGCGGCGAGGCCCTCAGCGGGCGCCGCGGCGGCCGACGCACCGTCGGCTCCTCCTCCGACTCCTCTCTGAACGTGTACGCGTCCCCCTCGGAGGCCTGGCTGGCGGGCCGCCGCGGCGGCGGCGGCGGCAGCTGCCGGGGCGGCTTCCTGGCCAGCTGCCGCCGCCGGCCGCGACCGCTCGGGATCGCCTTCACCGGTCCGATCACGGTCTCGGGGGCCCGCGCGGCGGACCGCGCCCCCGCCGGCGGAGGGGACTTGACCGGCGACGGCGGCGTCTTCAGCAGGTTATCGAACATCTTCTCCGTGTCTTCCTTGGAGGGCGGCTTCGACCTGGGCGAGGCAAGCAGCTCGTCGTCACTGTAGTCGATCTCGGCGGCCGCGGCGGACTTTTTGCGGCCCCTGCCGGTCGCGGCGGCCTTGGCGCCCCGGCCGCGCCGCCGCCCGGCGGACCCGGCCGAGCCGGCGGCGGCGCGGGCGGCGGGCCGGCGCGCCGAGCCGGGCGTCACCTGCGACACGTCGATCAGAATCTCCTCCTCGTCGTCGTCGCCCGTGTCGAGGAACTTGTGGCACGCCTTGTGGAACGCCGCCTCGATGTTCATCACCATCTCCGTGTACTCTGGAATGAGGGCAAACCAGCGGCGTCAATGGTAGGCAGAGAATTAGACAATTAACAAACAGAAAACGGTTCAAAGTTATAAATCTTGACATGGGTATTGCTGAATTGAAATAGAGATGAGCTTAATTTCGACGTATTATAATTCGACATTCATAATTTCGACGTTTAACATATCCCCAAGGTGGAGAGTGTCAGAACCTTTTCATTGATCTCCCACGGAAGCCCGTCCCGCCCTCCGCCATCCTCGGTCTCACCGTTCTCCAGGCCGTTGTAGAGTTTACAATTGTCGACGATCAGTTTGAAGTCGGACTCGAACTGCTGCCTGGTCTGGTACACACCGGCATCCAGCCTGCTCTCCAGCTTCATGAGGTCCATCGGCCGCCGGATGACGGCGTAGTAATTGGGCGCGTACTCCTCCTCGACCGGGTCCTGGAACGGCCAGGCCTCCTCGTGCGCTTTGACCGCCTCCAGCACCTTGTACATGCCCACGCGCAGCTCCTCGTCTGTCTGTAACACTCTGCGACGAAATGGAGCGCGGAGGGTTAGCAGGCAGCCGGCAGGGTGTCATGAATGGGGCTCGAGCTCAGACATCATCATCCAGGTTAACTAGAGGACAGGACTAGGATTTCACTAATGTGATGTGGCATGTGTACATTTAATCATAGCACACATTCCTTGCTATCCAAGTGAGCCAATAAAGCCACTGTTTTAAGAATACCCACGGTTCCTTATTCATTAAACCCTACCCAAATGAGACAAAAAAAAAATCTAGCTCACATTGCCGAGCTGCGTATCTTGTTGGCCGATCCGTTGAGCGGCGGTGCCTTCCGGTCGGGTTCGTCGTCAGCGGCGCTGGCGCGCCGGCCGGCCGGCCGCGGGGTCCCGGCGGCCGCCTTCTTCCGGCCTCCCGACGGCGTGTACTCGTCCTCGTCAGAGAGGTGGGCCGACTTCCTGGGCCGACCGGGCCGCCGCGGCGCGCTGCCGCCACCCGCAGCCGGCGAGGCCGAGCGCCGCGGAGACGAGACGCTGCCCACCGGGGACGAGCGGCCGCCGGCAACCGCCGGGGACGCCTTCCGGGACGCTTTGGTGACCGGAGTCTTTTGTGATGATTTTGATGATGATGGCGTCTTTTCAGATGATTTTGTGGAAGATGAGGGTTTGTCTAATGATTTAGCAGATGAGGGAGACTTTTGTGACGACTTTGAGGATGAAGCGTCTGAGTACTTGAGCGCTGCCTTGGAGGGGACGGGCGTCTTTTTGGACGCCTTTGTAGCCTTAGCAGTGGCGGCTGGAGCAGGTGCCGCCGGCGAGGCCTTCCTCGCAGCCTTTTTAGCGGAGCTGGGCGGCGGCTCAGCAGCGGCGGCGGGCGAGGGCGAGCGGTCGGGAGTCGGGGAGTCGGCCGCGCCGCCCCGCGACCCGCGCGGCCGCCCCCGCCGACCGGTGCCACCCTGCTCCTTCTTCTCTTGGGCCGCTATCAGTGCTATCGCCTGACGAATGAACCTGTGGGCAGGGAAAGACGGTCAGGCCACTGGAGACGTTCACAATCAGTCACCACAAAAAAACGAATGACGGCAAACTTACCGACACCATGACTAAAGTAATGTATTCATGCTTGAACCGAAACAAAAACTGAGAGTCCAAGATTAACATGATACGACAGGATCAAAGGGAAAACAAATTAGCTAATTATCAACCACCCATTTTAAGAGTCGCCCCACTCACTCCTCCTCGTCGGCGTCTGCGGCGGTGCGGCCCTTGGCGCGCCGCGGCCGTTTGGGAGCCGGCTCCTCCCTCTGCTCCGGCTCCTCCCGGCCTCGCTTGCCGGCATTCCGGGAGCCGGTGGCCGCCGGGTCCGAGCGCTCCGAACTCCTCGACTTCTTGGCGCCGGACGCCGCGGGCTCGGCGGCGGCGGGAGATTCCTCCATCGCGGCATCATCGGCGTCAGCGGTCTCCGCGGCGGCCGCCGAAGACGCCGGGCTCTGGCGTGCCGCCTTCTTGGGCGGCCGACCCCGCGATTTGGCGGCTGGCGCGGCAGGGGAGACGGAGGGCGACTGCGAGGGCTTCCTGGCCGGCCGGCCGCGCGGTTTGCCCGTGGACGCTGCGGGGGAGACTGATGGCGACTGAGACGGCTTCCTGCCTGGCCGGCCGCGCGGTTTGCCGGCGGCAGGAGGCGAGGTGGAAGGCGAGGGCGACGCCTTCCTCGGCGGCCGTCCCCGGGCCCTGCCGGCCGCCGCGGGCGGAGAGCGGGCCGCGGCGCCGCCGGCCGGCTCCTCCCTCCTGGCCGAGCCCGGGGACGGAGTCGTGTGGCCGTCGGTCCGGCCGCGGCCCCGGCCGGCCGGCGAGGAGGGCGGCGCCGGCGACTCTCCGCGGCCCGAGTGGCGCCGCGTCCGGCGCGCGTCGGCCGCCGGCGCGGAGCTGTCCGCCGCCTTCTCGGCCGCCGCCGCCGCCGACTGGGAGACGGTGCTCTCGCGCTTCACCGGAGGCCGCAGCGGGCGCCGGCGGGGACCCATGGCTGCCAGTCAGCGCACTGAAACACAGTAGAGTCCGCTGGGCATTACCGACAAACAGTGAACTATTGCAGCTCTGGTCCCACCAATCCATGATCCTTTCCCAATTTCATCATTTACTTAGCAAACAAAGTTCTACTGAATTGCTATCATAACAATTAACACTGTACAAATAATCAATTTCATATCAAGTTAAGTGTGGTGAGATATGCTGCAAAACAATTCAGATAAAAAATAATTCAGCATCACTCATAGTTGCTCATGCCTAAGGTCACATTGCAATAAAGCTGCAATAAATGCAATTACCTATTATTAATTCTGTCATGTTTGACATGACAGAGGTGCTGTGCATTCATTCACTTCAGCTAGCAGCCTAGAGCCAGAAACAGTTCAGCCTAATAGACCAAACATTCATATGACATAACACCACATGTCCTGAACTGATAACCAACAAACTGTATATAAAGTTGCAATGCAGAAATATCAAGTCCCCCATAACAATGTACACATTATCTTTAACAAGCACAAACACATTAGCCACGGACATTTAACCCTTTTTATCTACATCATAAATCTAAGTAAGGGAAATTTGTATTTACTGAATAAGAATTGAGATACCAAATATGAAGCCAGCAAGATATCAACATAGCCATCAATTCCACAAAAAGATGAGATGTGGAAATTTCAAGTTCTTTTCCTCATAGGAAAGACATAACTTTGTGCATAACAATAGAAGACACAACTTTGTGCATAACAATAAACAGTTAATGTTGTTCAACATGTATTTGGAGTACTAATACTTTCCAGCTATACCAGGGAAACAATTTATTCTGAGTTACCTAAACACTTCATTCAGTTCCAGATGCATAAAATGACTGATATCTATGTTGGCATGGTCTAATATCTGTTACCACAAAGTTTGTTGAAGTTTAAAATAACATTCCTGATCTGGTTCCAAAGCACAATTGAAACTTACTCAAGAGATATGGTAAGCAAATTAATGAAATATGCAGCTTTCTAGTAAATTTGTTCTCTTGAATCAATCAATTTTATCAACAACTATTATCTGATAACCAAGTTGCCCAAACTGATAAAAAAATAATGCATAACCATACCAAAAATTATTCTGCACTGGTAAAGCTGTTAAAGAGACATTAGGTACCTACTGATCTACCTATCAATAGATCCACAATCCACATACAATAGGTACTAACCTAACCTATCATACATCGTAACCTCAAATCAAGTGAAAGTGGCACATTTCTTCTACAAGATGCTAAGTTGGGGACCATATAGAAAATCAGGTCAGCTAGTTTAAAGCCAAACAAGCTTATAATGCATGCTACCCCATTGCTACCCCATTAATTAAGATTGGAATGCTGTCTTGGGGAGTGGCGACAGTGGGTTGTGATACATAATCGGATTGCAGTCAAGGATTGAGATACCCATTGCCCCTGAATAAGTTAATGAAAAAGTTCATACAAAATACACAAATTAATTGTCAGAATCGTTCAAAAAATAATACGTTGTTTCGTATTTCGTAGCTTGCTACACGTTGTATCTGTCATAATAAACCATCAGGACAGGTCTGTCAATTCACATCAAGAGCGAAGGGAAATCAATAATTTATGCAACCAAAAAGACATACCTTCTACAGCATCCTCCGACCCTATGAAATAATGCTTCTTCTCACACTTAAAACGAAAGAAACTGTGAGGGATGGTAAAATTGACGATAAAAACATTCAGCGAACCCCCTATCTCTCCCGCCCAGCGCCCAACATCACACGCCAACGCGCGCAGTTCACCATCTGATTGCGATCCCAGCACCATCTGTCGGAGCCTCATCCGGGACATTTTACTGAGCAAGCAAGATTCTTATCAAAATCGGGTGCATTTCATTTGAGAAGGACTGAAACTGATAAGAAACTAGTTTGCTTTTCGTAAATGAGATTAAAAATTTACTTTGTAGGTGCAATCATTTGCGTATTTCAGAGGAAATAATAAAAAATGAGTGGGATGAAAAAAATATCAATATCAACGTTTTCCTTTGAATTTGATTCCGGCTTAGAATCGCTTATAAAAAATGGATTTTAAGTCAACTAAAAATTAAGATTTCAAGTTTTGTAGTCAGTGATTAAATAACGACCAAAAATGATAAAACGAAGCTATAAAAAATTGGTAGCGGTTTTCTTTTTCATGATGGCGCGATGATTACAAAAGTGGCGCAAATAAAATAAAAACAACACGTTTTTGCAATTCACAATTCACATGTTTCTCTGTGTTCCTCGTGGTCTTCAGGCCCATGTCGTCCCCTATCTCCGCGTGTGTCCACTAACACGAATGACGTCACGCATGTGGTCGGAGCTATGGGCGGAGCCTAACGCACGCGGCAGTCCAAGCCGCCATATTTGAATTTATATTTTAATAGAATCTTGCCGATATTTTGGGTGAAGTCAATTTATATGGATAGCTTGGTGACAGTTTAGCTATACGAATAATAATTTATTATGGATGTGCGTATATTCAGCTTGAAATTGCAATTAAAGCTCCGCACCGCATAGATTCGAACTCGGGACCTTTGGAATACTGCGCGGGCACGCTAACCACTACACTACCGCGTCCGCGCGGCGGCCGGCGGCAGGGAGGCTGCGGAGACATGGGGGGACATTTTACGCTTTTGTGAAAAAAGCAAAAGATTTAGCGAAAAACACATTTTAGATAACTTGCAGAAAATTGTCTGCTCTTTCAGATAAGATACTTAGGTTTGATATATCTTGTGCAGACTTCATTCTACAGTGCTTCGAAAATCGCTCATTTACATGGGGATTGAACGGGGCTTCGAGACTTGACTCCAAATGACGTCACGAGCTGACGTCACGAAAAGGTAGAATCGCCGGACGACCCTACCTGGTATATAGGGCCTTGGTGGTCTTTGTGGTGGGACGGGGTATAGACGAGGCGTGACAAAGGAAATATAGCGTGGTAGGTACCCAAATGTCACTGTTTTCATCTTATTTTTGTGCATCGTTTGTCGGGGAAATTATCTGTTGTTGTTACAACCAAGTCTTCTGGGTTGAAGTTGTTTCCGCTTTTGTCATTATGCTCCGAAGCTCAACAGTATCCTGTAGCGTTAGCTCACCCCCATATCAAATGAAATAGATAAAAAAGCAGTTCGCCCAGCGTCCTTGCATCACGTTAATGCCGAAATAGACCTCCCACCGTGAGAATCGTAGGTACCTCGGCATGCATCTATCTGCATACAAATGATGATTGATGTTTGATCAATGATGGAAGCAAAATTCATTGTATTTGAATAGGCTCTTGCATGCAGCTTCCTGACTGATAAAATAGCCCTCAACATTTATGGAGCTATCAAACCAGGTGGTATCCAAAACAGATCTAGTCAGCTTTGTCTGTGAAAAAGATATAATGTCTTGAATCTTGATTTGATGCCAATCTTAAGTAGGTAGGTATCTACCTATTTGATTTGTCTTAGCTTAATGAACCATGATAACATGCTATCCTGTTCATTAATACTTTGTTGTTAGCCTGTTTCACACTTCAGTAGGCGGAACTATGGTCATGAGTACCCAAATATAGGAACGTTCCCATTTTTGGGAACGGAGTTCCCAAATATGGGAACGGGCGTTCCCATTTATGGGAACGGAAGGTAATTTTTCGGCCGTTCGCCCACTAAAACTCAATAGTGCATCACGTCTCAAAAAAGTGCACGCTAATTTAAGTATCTACTAAGTCTCTATAAAATTATCTTTAATCTGACCGTTGCACAAGGAAATTGACCGTCGAATGATATTTTTAATGATTTTTTGAAATGACGGAATGGTGAAAACATGGGTTATACTACATTTAACTTGCAATTTTTAGGAAAATGAAGCGTTTTTTACATTTTGAGGTCAAGTATAATAATTTTCGCCTGGTTATGAAGTTTCATACTAGCGACACCAGATGCTGACATATGCAAGCGAACACGCGGACAGTCCGGGGGTAATATTGGTGACATTTGGTGTCGGGGCGCACGACCGCATGGAACGTCAGTGATTTTACCGAACTACTGTTGTAAACTCAGTTTCAGTGGTTTAAAATTATTCAGCTGTATTATATCATCCCAGATAGACATATTTTATTTGGATGCTAGCTGTTTAGAGTTGTTTTATAAGGAGCGTCATGAGCGTGGTTTTTGTCTTCCGTGTTCCTAAGCGTGATCGTTTTGGGGGAATTTCTCTTATATAGGTCGCTCTGTGTGGCTTATTTATAATTTTTATGCTGATTTCGATCATTCCTCGTACCCATCCTACCAGGCCTTTTGCCACTTACACTCATCAAGAAAGGAAAAAACTAGATTTTCATTGGGACTAGGTGTTTTGAGGGTGTAACATATTCAGCGTTCCCATTTTTGGATACTTCCTTGTGCACGTCAACTATCGGTGATAAACAGACAGGTGCTTGACATGTCTCCACCCTCGGCGCGGACGGTGGATATAGGTATGGAAGACCTTGTTGAACATCGCTGAGCGTTGTGAATTACGTAATCCTGCAGAGGGGGGCGTGCCCGCTGCGAGATCGACGGGAATAAAAGCGCAGAAGACCGGGCGAAACATGCGACGGTCTTGCCGGAAAGGTCATCTGATGATTGTTGCGTTAACAATAATTTGCGGCGTTGGACGTGATGCTTGTTAATGAAAAGAGCCCCTGAAAGGCGTCGGTGAAATCGTTCCCAATTTTGGGTACGCCGTTCCCATAATAAGGAACGCTTGCAGCGCCAGTGTACGAGAGCGTTCCCAAATTTGGGCTCGCGGCCCGGATGATGGACTGCTTTAGAAATAGGGGAACGATTTGAAACTACGATGGGCCTTACAATATCAAACTCTTTCCCAACAATATTGAGACAAATATCAGGTGGTTCACGATCGTTTTATATTTTTTGGACGTCATTTAACGGTTCTTTTTCTTGTTTTAAATAATGCCTACATGGCGTTCCCATATTTGGGTTTATCGTTCCCAAACATGGGAACGAAAATGCGTTCCCGAAAATGGGTACGCTTGACCATAGTTCCGCCTACTGACTTGTGTTTTCCACAGTGTTTTACATCAACATGTAACATGTTACCATTACAATTACCTCAGCATGCAATGCATTGTGACTGAATATACAAGCCACACCAACCACCAGTCTGGATAACAAAGCTGCACCAGCCCACATCAGTCAGGCTGGAAATCCCCACTAGCCCACTTCAAACAAGATCCACACTTCCTAGGACAATGTATCTTTCAGTCAGGGACACTTCAGGGTGATAACCAACTTCTTCAGCGCTAAAGAAATTAAACTGTGATATCAGAGGCAAACAAGAAGCTTACTATGTGATGTCAGAACATTCCTGAGGCATTCCTGAGAACTACTCTGAACTCTAGTAGAAATGCCAAAGTTTACTCACCTTGCTCACCTTGTGGGGTTCCTCCACTTACCAGCCTTACAGGACAGGTGTAGGGAGGGAGAAGAGGAACCTGGAAACACAAGACATGCCAGTTCTTTAATGCTAGAACTAACCTTGGCAGTAATAATACATAACAAGAATATAAACTGGATGTTGAGATATGTTGGATTAGGTCTAGTTATGTGAGGGTATACATGGTGATGTTCATATTATTTGTTTTTGTGGAAGCTCAAAGCTATCATACAAGCATACATTTTGACTGTGGTTTGACATTCAAAGATATAAACATATCTTTACATTTACATTTGCAATGTGCATTTACAATATCACTATGAATTCTTGACATTTCTGTTTTTCAGGTTACTTCTGGATTAGATTGAGATGACCATGCAAAATGGAAATGGTGAGGAATGATTGCACTATACTGTTTGAATGGAAAAGCATGGATGAAAAAATGCTTGCTTTACCTGTGATAATTCATGCTGCTGTTTTAATGAATACAAAATAACTAACGCCTTGATGAGGTACTGACTACTGAGACATTTTCAAAGGTTTTTTTTTTTTTGCCTCCAGTAATTGAATCAGTAGGTAGGCTGATATTTGCTGGGCTGGCAGGTAGTTTGTGACTATGATGTTGAAAATAACACCGCAAGTTTGCTGAACAAAAACTGTGCCCGCGTTCCGGCCACTACCGATGCTGTCACGTTTTAGTCGGGTCGGTGATCCACACCATCTGGTCTCTCGCTGCTGTCCTGCCCCACCAGTCACCGCCTGTGTATACCTCCAGCGTCCGAGTCGACGGGCGGCTGGCCGACGGGCGGCACGCAGGCGGGCTCCTCGTGGCCGGCCGGCTCCCACACGCCCGTCCAGCCGACGCCCAGTAACGAGGAGTGCGGCATCCGCGAGGTGTGGGCCTACAACCTGGACCGCGAGTTTGACAACATCAGGAAGGTGGCGCAGACGTACAAGTATGTCGCCATGGTGAGTCCAATAGAGTGGAGGAGCGTGCGGTAATTGATAGTGGGCGGGACTTGAAAAGGGTAGTTCGATCGTGAAACCCTTTTGAGCTATGCAAGGCAAGTTGGGCAAGTTGATCACCTTGCAATCAAATCAGAAGCCTGTAGAATCGGGAATTTCGGGACGTTTAAATTTTGAGTGGCTAATGACGACATTTTGAACAGCTTAAATAAATACGCTGCCTTCACCATGAACATTAATCAGACGTTATTGGGTCAGTGGAGTGGCCGCTCCGTGTCGCGGGTCCCGCCCGAGTATGAGTTCCTTCTTCTTCTTCTTCGTCGCACGTCACGTGGACGCGCCCGCAGGCGCGTCGGACGGGGGCTGGTCGAGCGGCGGCTCGGACCGCCCCACCCGCCGAATGTATTCAACTATCTTGCCGGCCGGCCCGGAGAGGACCTCGTCGAGGGATGGCAGGGGTCCCCCCAGAGCCGGCGTCTCGTGGTGGCGAATGCTGGGCACTCGGTGAGGAGGTGGCGAACGGTGTCCTCGGCACCGCACTCCCGGCAGAGAGGGTCTGGGGTGAGCTCCGGGCGGTGGAGCGTCGCTCGTGCCAGGGGGCAGTGGCCGGTCCGCAGCTGCGACACGGTCACTTGCCCCCAGCGCGGGAGGTCTTGGAGTCCAGGTGTGGGCTGGGGGTGCGGGTGCCGGTGTGCACGCGTGGCCTGCATTTCCCTGGCGCGCTGCCGTATGGCGGTTCGGGCGCTGGCCAGATCGATGGGCGTCTCCGATTGGGCACACTCGGCCGCCGCACGGTTAGCCAGCCTGTCTGCCGCCTCGTTGCCGGCGATGTCGGCATGGCCTGGGACCCACTGGAGGATGATGGCCGTGTTCTGTTCCCCCAGTGAGCCCATCGCGGCCCAGACGCGCTCGGCGAGGACCAGCTGCTGGGCCTCCGGTCCGCGCTGGAGTAGCTGAAGGCCGGAGAGGGAGTCGGTGCACAGCAGGCATGTCTTGATGCGGCTCCTGGTCTCCCCCGGTTGTGCCAGCAGGCAGGTGAACGCCGCCAACATCGCTGCGAGTTCGGCCCGCATGCTGCTGCAGACCGAGCCCGCCGGTACCAATGTCTCCACTTCGCGGTTCTCCCGGTGCAGCTGGATCAGCGCACCGCCGCCTCCGTCCCTGGTGCCGGACTTGGCGGAGCCGTCGGACCAGATGGTGCAGTCCGGGTTGACCATGGCTATGGCCTCGAGGGCGGCAGCTTTCCTCACGGCGGGTGGGTCGTCTCTTCTGGTGGCGCGCGGGAGGGAGAGGCGGAAGGTGACCGCGTCTGCTGGGTTGGTCCACGGCGGCTGTTCCGGGACCAGGGCCAGCGGTTCCCGTGGGAGGTCCGCTAGACCCGCCTCCTTGGCCATCCACTGACTGACCCGCCGGAAGCACGGTTTGAAGGGCAGCGCCGTGTCCTCGCTCGGGGGGTCCGGCGGCGGTTCGCCGCGTCTTCTGGCCTCAGTGCGCGCTCGCTGCCAGGCCTCATGAGCCCTGTGCTTGAGGCGTGGGCGGACGTGTCGCTCGGTGAGGGCTCTGGCGGGGTCTCCTGGCGGCAGTCTGGCGAGTCGCTCCTGCTCCATTGCTGCTATTTCCCAGCCTCTCACTGCGAGTGGTGGCAGGCCGGCCTCGGTGATGAGGGTCTCCGAGTTTGTGAGGCGGATGCAGCCAGTGATCACTCTGGCGCACTTGTGCTGCTCTGCCTCGATCCGGGCCCGCACGGAGGGTGCAGCGTGGGTGGAGTAGAGGGCAGCTCCGTAGTCGGCCACGCTGCGGATGTACGCGATGTAGGCCGCGCGCAGCGTGGCTTGGTCACAGCCGTATGACCTGCCCGCCAGAGCTGTCAGACAGCGTCGGCGCTGTGCCATCCTCTTCTTCACTTCCTCGATGTGGTTGGTGAAAGTGAGCTGGCTGTCCAGGGTCAGCCCCAGGAAGGTCGGGTTCTTCTCGTGCGCGAGCTGGTCGCCTTTGAAGGTCAGTGTCGGGACGACCTTTCCGTTGACCTTCTTGGCGTGTAGCGAGAAGGTGGTGAAGACGCACTTGCTTGGGCTGGCCTCGACCTTCCACTTGTCCAGCCAGCGGGCGACTTGGTCCAGATCCGGTTGCAGCTGGTCGGCGCACGCCTGCAGCGAAGGTCCAGTAGCCAGGAGGGCGGTATCGTCCGCGTAGAGAGAGCGGGTGGTGTTGGAGTTGATGTCTTCATCGAGGTCATTGCAATAGATCAGCCACAGTAGCGGCGCCATCACGCTGCCCTGCGGGAGGCCCTCTTGGAAGACGCGCTGTGATGAGCGGGCGTTTCCCCACCTGACACGAGCACGCCTGTCCGTGAGCAGGGCCTTCACCCACCGCGTGGCGCAGCCAGGGATGCCCATCTTCTCCATCTTGTGGAACAGGCCGTCCCGCCATACACGATCGTAGGCCTTGGCGAAGTCTAGCAAGACTAGGATGGCGCGATGGTGCTTCGGTTGTTCGAAGGCGTCGAAGATCGATTGGGTGACTCGGAAGAGCTGGTCGATCGTGCTGTGTCCCTTGCGGAAGCCGGCCTGGTTCGGGTTCAGCTTCTTGTGTCGCTCCAGCCAGTGTTGGAGCCGGTTCTGCACCAGTCTCTCGGCGAGCTTGCTGATGGTGTTGAGGAGGCTGATTGGCCGGTAGCTGCTTGGGAGGGCCGGCGACTTGCCCTTCTTGGGGATGGCGACTATCTCTGCGGCGCGCCAGCTGGCGGGGACCGTGCCTTCGGTCCAGCTACGGTTTAGGACCCGGAGCAGCTCCGTCTCGCCGGTAGGGCTCAGTTGTCGGAGCATGTCGTTGGACACCATGTCCGGGCCGGGGCTCTTTCCGGGCTTCAGCTTGGAGAGGGCGTGTTGTAGCTCGCGGCGGGAGAAGGGGGAGCAGAACCCTTCCTTGGTGTCGCCGCACTCGCAGGTCTTCCCGGCGCGGCGTGAGCTGAGTTTGATGGCATGGTCTTCCTGCTTCCGTTTGGGCAGTCTCGAAACGGCAGCGTAGGTCTGGCAGAAGAGGTCGGCCTTCTCTCTGTCTGTCACCGCCGCCTTGGTCGGTGCTGTCTGGCCGGCTGTCGGTGGTCGTTGTATGGGGACGGCCGGTTTTGCTGGTGGGACGCGGCCGTCGAGGATCTTGATGGTTCTCCAGAGGTCGGTGTCAGCTCCCATCTCCTCCAGCTGTCTGTTGACGTAGGCTGTTTTTTCTCTGTTGATGGTGTTGGTGGCGTTCTGTCGAGCTTCGCGTGCGGCGATGATGTCGTCTGCCGTGTGGTCCGGGGTGGAGGCTCTGGACTGTGCTCCTTCGCGTAGGTCGACCGCTTCTTGGCACGACTCGTTCCAGAACGGTGGCTTGCCTCCTCCCCCGTTCCCGAACGGGATGCTGCGCTTCGCGGCTGTGATGATGGCCCTAGTGAGTCGGCTTTCCTCTTGGTGGAGGGGGGCGTCATGGCTTGGCCACTTGCTGATCTCGGTATCCAGATGCCGGCGGAACGCCTCCCAATCTGCTTTCTGTTGCCGGAAACGGCCCGGTCCCTTCCTCTTGGGTCGTTGATTGATGGTTGGCAGCGTCAGGTAGATCGGGAGGTGGTCAGAGCCCAGACCAGGTCCAGTCTCCCATTCGGCTCCGCCAGCCAGGTCGCCAGAGACGAGGGTGAGGTCCGGGGTCGACCGACCACCTGTGCTTGGGTTAACACGGGTGTGCTGCCCGCTGTTGGCTATGGTCAGCCCGCGTTCTGTCGCCCACGCCTCGATCGCATGACCTTCAGCGTCTTCTGGTTGGTGGATGTCCCAGCTGTTGTTGTGCGCGTTCACATCTCCTCCGATGATGGTAGGTCCGTTGGTCTGGAGACAGTCTGGCTGAAAGGTCTGCTGTTGTGTGCCTTGTCCTGGCGTCCTTCTTGCCGGTGGTATGTATAGGTTGACGATGGTGGTGTCAGGCGTACCTCGGACATGGATGGTGGTTGCCGTACAGTACGTGTTGAGATCGGGTTGTGTCGGTTGGTATGGAGACGGTCTCGCTGTGTAGGGCACGTCATCTCTGATGAGGGTGATGATGCCTCCCTGGCTGGCCCCTCCACTTCCCCTGCCGGTCGGAGCTGTCGCCGGCGCCGGTGCGGCCCGTCCGGCTGATGTCGCCGGTGCGGCCGGCGCAGCTTGGCGGCGTCCCCCGGCGCGAGTGCGGCCCCGCGGCGGCGTGCCGGGGGGCGGCGCTGCTTGGGGTCGGTGCGGAGTCAGCTGAGGTGGATCCTCCTCGTCACGCGTCGCCAGCAGGTGTCTGCGCCGGCTGGACGTGTCCTGCGGTGTGATGTGAGGTGTCAGGGGTGGTCCCTCCTCTTCGGGCGCCGCTGGGTGACCCCCGGGTCGGCTCGGCGACCTCTGCGGTGTGAGGGTTGGTGGCTCCGGTGTCGTTGGGCCCCGGGTCGGGGTCACCGGCGTTGCCGTGGCTCTCCCGCGGCGGGTCCGTCGAGGTGAGGCCGTCGGAGTCGGTGAGAGGAGCGGAGGCTCCGGTGTGGCCGTGGACAGGTCCGGGGCCGAGGTTGCGATCGGCGTCAGTGTAGGCGGGTCGCTCCATGGCGGGCTCGCGCGACTAGGTGGCCCTATCGGAGACAGCGTTGGAGGAGCTGGGGACTCTGGAGAAGCTGGCCGGCCAGAACTTGAGGGGTTTGGTGGCGGTGGCTGGTCGTGATCTTGCCTTGCCGCCACGTTGTAGCCCTGGATACGAGGCGGGGGCTGCGTCGGCGTTAGCAGCGTCTCTTGCAGTAGGATGATGTGGGGCCTGACTTTGGCTACGGCTCTCTTCAGCTCGGTTAGCCTGGCGTTGAGTCCGTTGCAGTTGAACTGCATGACTTGTAACGCCTCCGGTACAGCGTCCTCTGTCCTACCTCTTCGACGGCCTGGGCGTCGGCGCCTCCCATTATCTCGTTCCGGGGGCGGTCCTGGGTTTCTTTCGACGTCTCCGGCGCGGAGTAGTAGCAGGGCGCAGCATGCCGGGTTACTGCGCCCCGCCGTCAAAAACCCGATGGATGGTGTTGGTGTCCCTCTTGTGGTGTAGGTGGTGTCCCTCTCGTAGTCGGTTGGTACGTGTCGGCGGGTACGTGATGATGGAGCACTTTGCTCCCCGAGGCCTCGGGGAGACGCTGTCCCCACGTGAAGGGGGCTCCGTTGACAGTATGAGTTCCTCCACTCCCCGCCAGGACACGGAGTTCCCCGGTGTGGTGGCGCGGCCGATAGGCGAGTTCCGCAGTGCGCAGGACTACGAGTACCAGCTGCGGCGCTGTAACGTCGACCACCTGAAGATGATCCAGCTGGGCGTCACCTTCTTCGACGAGCAGGGCCGCATGCCGCAGCCGATCACCACCTGGCAGTTCAACTTCAAATTCAACCTCGTGTACGTCACCGACATCCACTGTGGTAGACGAACTGACAAGATTATTACTAAACGTGAAAAGGCAAATCAGATGAACTTGACCGATTTTCCCCAGTCAATTATAAATCTATAAATGAATGAGGTATATGAATCGATGAATGAATGGAGTTTAGGAATAAATATCGGATGTCGTGATGTGTGTTTGGAAGCGATAAGAGCTTCAAATACTTTTTTATTCTAGTTTTGTTTTTCTTAGAGCAAATGATAGTTTTTAATTGTATCCGAGTATAGAAACTCAAGGTACCTACTACCTAACGATATGCTGACGTTGAAACCTCTTTAGTCACTTTAATCATCCATGACCTCAGCCCCTCCCGCCATTCGCCGCCGCTGACCCGTTCGGCGCTGCCGTTCCCAGCGAGGACATGTACGCACAGGAGAGCATAGAGCTGCTGCAAAAGTCGGGCATCCAATTCCCGGTGCACGACGACGAGGGCATCGAGCCGTTTGAGTTTGCCGAGCTCATCACCACCTCGGGCGTGGTACTCATGGACGACGTCAAGTGGATCTCGTTCCACAGGTGAGCTGGGGTCTGGGGAACTCGGTTCACCTAGGGATACTGGAGGGGAGCTTCGTAGTTCGTACACTGAGATGAGTTGGAGATCTGCTCACCTAGGGAGACATGTATATAAGAAATATTTTTTAATGTAGCCTGATGCCCATCATATATTAGTTAAGTTTTAAGCGAAATAGACAAAGAGAATAATATTTCGACCACGGGTCATCATCAGATTCGAATAGGAAAATCATTCGAAATCATTCATTCATTCATTGAAAATCATTCATTGGATTTTCCTATTCGAATCTGATGATGACCCGTGGTCGAACTATTATTCTCTTTGTCTATTTCGCTTAAAACTTAACTAATATATGATGAGCATCAGGCTACATTTAAAAATATTTCTTATATAGTATATACATACTAATAAATATGCTCAGCAATAGCATCTCCATTCTAAAAAATGACGAACCACCTAGGGAGACTGGAGGGGAGCTTCGTCCATTGAGGTGATAGATAGTTTATTAGATGCCTCCACTGGCATGGATTTTGTGGCATGCACGTCAATCACACAAGATAAAAGGTAAAATACATGACAACCGGTAAACGACCTTGAACACACCATTGTAAACATGCATAAAAGGAGATAAAAACAAAATGCTATAACACTAAAAACACAAATAAAAGTATATACACTACACAACACACGACCATAAATCACCTATTGTTCCATGTGGAAATCGCGCGATACGTAAAGCTGCGCCGCGCAAACTCGGTCCTCACTCTCGGTAGCTGTAGCAGGCCGTTGGCCACCGCTCGAGTTTGGCGGCCCGAGACATCGCTTCGGTGGATCAGCTGCCCAGTCAGTGCCTCAGCCCCACATGCAGGGTTAAGAAGGCGACATATGGCAGCGATGTCCCGCTCATGCACCATCTCATCGACTGTGGGCCATCCCAGCTCTCTAAGCGCCGGTGTCACGTGGTCTCGCCGTGACAGTCCCGAAACGATGCGAACGCCAAAATTGATAGATAGTGATGTGGAGATCTGTTTCCACAGGTGGACGTGGATGCACTGGTGTGAGAAAGGGATATTTCTTTTGATCAGATGAAATCTTATTTCAGAGCGTTGCCGGTGTTGTGCGCATTTCTATAGGCTCGTGATTGGCAAAAATGCGGGATATATGATAAATGTTTTTCTCCACTATGCGTGATAGTAGAATTCGCTCTTGACAATAACTGGGAACGACTGTGTATTTCAGCGGTTACGACTTCGGCTACCTTCTGAAGATACTGACCAACCAGAACCTGCCCAAAGAAGAGTCGGAATTCTTTGAGCTGCTCCGGATGTACTTTCCCACAATGTATGACGTCAAGTATCTGATGAAGTCGTGCAAAAACCTCAAAGGCGGTCTACAGGAGGTGGGTTACTTCTCCGTCAGTAAATGCTATATGATGGACTGTGACCTATAGGCCTCTTGGTGAGTGTTGAAACTATGAGCTGGCTCGGCACGGCTGTGTGGACGTAATGAACATTCTTAACCCTCGCATGTGTAGGGGGGTCGGATGGACCCCCCCCCCATGGTTTTTCGCGTAAACTCGTGTAAAAAGCGGCCGATCGCGACGAAACTTTCAATACCCTCGCATTGATCAATTTGACACCTACCCTGAAAATTTCATGACCCTGACCCAAATGACCTTTGACCTGTGACCTCTTTTCCGAGACCATGTTTGGCCGGAATCGCGATTCGGCGTACGTCGGCTCGCATTAGCCGCGCGTTTGCAAGCTTTTCGTGGTTTCAAACGTTCAAACATGTGATTTGATGTTGCTCCCATGCATTAGGGTGGATGTCAAGGTCACCTGAAGGTCAGGTCAGGTCATTGACCTTTGGTGACCTCGGGTGACCTCGGTTCACTTTTTCGTGTTTTACATGTTTCCAGGCTAGTTTTTGGAGCTGAATTCGAATTTAGCAACCATTTGAACACTTACGAAGTAGTTTTGGTGCCTTCGTAACATGTTACGAAGCTGTCAGAGGCGGTTGACACGTACTACGAATACCCGTCACGACGCCTACTGATTGACCTGACCTGACCTGACCCGACCTGGTCTAAATGCTTTAAGACATCATCTGTGATCAAAACTAACACGATATTCGTGATCAGCACCCCGAAAAACCCCTTAGCAGCCACACTTTACGACTTTCTAATAGGTCCCGATTTTCCCGACTTTGGGTCATTGACCTGACCTGGAAGGTCAACCAATGACCTAGGACCTTAAAATTGGGTATCATCGGCTTCCTCTCGTCACGGGCAACACGCTCGTTTTTTCCGCGAAGCTCTAGCTCGATCAGGGGCCAAACGGCAAGGGGGGGGGTCCAACCGACCCCCCCCCCCCCCCCCCTACACATTAGAAGCTGGAAAACGCCGCACACATGCGAGGGTTAAGATTTCCTTCTCGCTAGTCGCCGGACGTGTACGTAGTGCACTGAGTGTACGTACAGTGCTGTGTGGGACTGTGGCGGCGGTATGGGCGACACCCAGCCTGTCGTGTGTATATACGCGGCACACCGACTGTGTAGGAGCATGACAGCGACCCCTCTCGCCCCTGCTTTGTGAGTCTGACAGCGTTTTTCCTGCCGCAGCTGGCGGAGCAGTTGGAGCTGGAGCGGGTCGGCCCTCAGCACCAGGCCGGCAGTGACAGTCTGCTCACCGGCGCCGCCTTCTTCAAAATGAGGGAGGTCAGTCGCACACACTACTAGTTTTGAACGGGAAATAGCTTATCCTTTGCCGCCTAGTATATGTGTTACATAGGTAGCTCCATAAGTCAGTTTATGTTTGGCTCTCACACTGAATTACAGCTACATTTCGCTCCCAGCGCACCTCGCTCTCGTTCAATCGCCAATCGCCGCTGCAGGGCGCTGACTGGCCTCTCCCCCCTCCGTGTGCCGTCAGATGTTCTTTGAGGACAACATTGACGACGCCAAGTACGGCGGCCACCTGTACGGCCTGGGTACGCCGTACCAGGTGAACGGCGGCGGTCAGCAGGAGCCGGCCGGCGAGCCCGCCACCAGCAGCTCCAGCTAGGCGGCCGGCCGTGGGCAGATACTGCCGTCATCGGCGGGAGGTGAGCAGATACTGCCGTCATCGGCCGGCGGGCGGAGGCACCCGTAATAGTGGGGACGGGCGAGCAGGTAGTAGCCGTAGCGTTGGTGGGTTGGTACCCGTGGGACGAATGAGAAGATTGCAACCGTGACAGGATGATGGGCAAATGGCTATTAGCTCCTGTAGCGGCGTGAGGGGACGGGTAACGGGTAACCCACACTGGTGGAGAGAGAAATGAATGGGTTAATCGGAGGAAAATGAACGGCGGAGAATGCTTACATTGGCGTGACAGCCTGTTTGTTCCCTGGGTTATGGTAGTTGGCTTTTAGCCCGTTCTAAAAATAAACTAGCTATGCAATAGCTAGTTTATATGTATTTATATACAACAATATGTATTTCCAAGAGCCCGTAGCGGTTCACAGGTGTGCTAGATGAACGCAGCAAAGGGACATCAGTATCGCCATCAGCAGCTTGCCTGAAGACATAATTCCTAACATTTACGGTTCTCGTTCAGCGGTATCAGCGTTATATTAGTTGATCATTTGACTATCCCATTTTCCCAGGAGTATTGCGGGCTGCTTACGCTGTGACACCGGCCGGAAGAAAAAGGGAACGGGGCGGCGGCGGGAGCACGGAAGCTACTTCAAGACGCTCTGCAGCCGCGCCGGTAGGTGGTTGCGAATCTGCGAATCACCTACAGTGGCGACGTCTGGTGAGTCAACCGAGTACTCCGTACTCCCGTGCCAGGCTGCCGCAACTCGTGTCGTGAATGAAAAGGGCAGGCAAATGGGAGGAGAGACAGAAAAGGCTGTGGTGCGTCCGGTAGAGGAGCTTTTATCCAAACTGCCAGACCGATGAGCTAGTAAGGGATCGGGCGGGTAACGGTATGTGAACGTCTCACAGTCGTGCGGCTGAATTGACGACAGCTGACCTTTCGGTGACTGGTGTTGTCGTGGTTGGCTGGTCCTCAGTTTGTCCGTGCCGCTGAGTTTATTCTTTGTGTGAGCGGCAGCGCAGTTTCCCAGTTGATACCGCTGCTGCAGATCCAGGGGCCGCGTATACAGTCTCCTAGACGCTCCCTTGCTGCCAGTCTAGTCGATAACAGGGTCTCACTGCGAGTTTGTTCACCTGGTGTTTGTCCTATTCTTATTACGTTTTATTCTATTTTTCTGTAACAAGTTGCTGTAGTTAGCGTTGTAATTCATTATTTATGGTCCTTAATACGGCCTTACAGTGGTGCACACATGCTAGATGTATCATACACTTACCTACCATGTGGTGGGTACATTAAGGACGGTATTCTGTACGATTCTCTGTCAGGCGTCGCTCCTTTTCCCTATGGAAGTGGAAGTCTTTTGAAACCATCAAAGGTGACAATCATCCGAAGTTTGCGCGGTGGAGGCTAGACCGCTCTCCTCTCACACTGAAGTGGGGTACGCCCTGGTAATTTTATCCACTGACTAAGTTGTATGTTTTGTTGTTTGTGTGGCCACATCGACATTACTGCCTGTTCGCACCAGCCGAGATTGATTGGTGTCAACTCGCTGGCTAAGCGCTACCGCTGTGGCTGGCACTTCTCGCACAGTTACCGAGGAGTGTTGTTTTGCTGCTAACATCTCTGCTACACTTAGTGATGCCCACATCGTTGGTAGCGGACTCAGTCTGCTTCAGTGCTGAAAACCATCTAGTCTTGGTAGTATCAAAAAGGTCGCCTCTCTTTTCACTTTTTTGTTGGGGATCATCCCTCCCTCCGTCCCCTACATTTTCCCCAAGAACGATCAAAATGTTTTGCGGCACATGTCATTGTATTCGCATAAAAGACTTAGTCCTTCTCGTGTTGGTTTGTCATCAAGGGGCACGGTCCAAAACTCCAAACAATTGATCATCAATGTGCATAGCTAATAATATGCGCTTACCGTTCTCCAGGCCTCCGGAAAACAAAGCATGTCACTGTTGGGTATTTGTTGAGCTTTCCGTTGACTTAGCCCACTTCGAGCACATGTGGTGCGCAATAATAATAACTTGACTTTGTTGTACAATTGCAGATATATAATATTGTCCTGTAGGTTTGTTCCTTGTTGTATTGAGCCTTATTTATGAACTTTTGTCATTGTTTCGTAGCATACACTTGCTAACTATAATGCTGGCATTAAATAGACGGTTTAGCCACGCAGCTTTCTGAATGTGAGGTTCTCAAGAGCGCTGGCATAATCCATTGTGCAACATCGAGCTGCCTTTTGAGAAACTGGCCTGACGGGTCATGGAAACGTATGGCTGTGGTATGTGTAGATGGCAGGTGGCTGGACACTGCCTGGGAAGACTGGACGCGCTCTGAACCTAGTTCCCGCTATGTCTGCTTGTAGTCGAGTTCAACGATATGAAGTTAATCTGCTCTGCTTGCACCAGAAGCGAGGACGTATTGTATGCTTACGCCTCGCACTGTGTTTATGATGTAACTTGACAAATATATTACGAAACATTACAGCCGCGTCTTGTAATTTCTGTTAACTTTATTGCATTTTTTTTTTTGAGTCACTAACACGTACTGACATTCCATTCGGGTTTTGATCAAATGCTGAATGCCAACGGCATCTAGTTCTTAAGAATTATATTCCTCGTGAATGTGGGTTTCCTGATTCGTTCAACATGCTTATGCCTAAAATGGGTCTAATATTCGATCTTTCCCGTAATGTCTACTCCCCGAACTAAACTTATTCATGTATTTTAAAGAAAGGGCGAAACAGAACAACGAATGATTTTCAGTCGATCATCACAAGAAAAGGAAACCATCTGAGAGGTTCTTCAATGTCTCTCCCTCTACTAGTCTCGGCTAGAATGGGCGACGGCCACATCGGACTTTACCTGCGTTGTTGTCGCGGACCTCTGCTCGCCCAACACACCCTCAGACCTCGCCTGGCACCGGGATGGTAAATCGAACCGCCCTCGCCCCTCCCCCGCCCCTCCCCGCCCCTCTACGGGCTCCGCTCCGTCCGCCAGCCGCCCGCTGGCCACCGGCCCACCTCCCCACCCCTCTGCCTTCCCCACCCCCCTCTACCTGTCTCCCTCCCACCCCTCCCCAACAGCCGGGAGCTGTCAGTCGCGGCACCGGGCCGGCGCGTTTGGCAGGAGAGCGACAGAGGCGTCTGCTGGGCCGCTCTAAGATGTGTTCTCCCTCTCGATGCTGGGATGCTAAAGACGATATCATATAGTATCATCACGATATGATATGATAAAGCTAATGTTAGTTCGTAAGAAAAAGTGCAACTACGAGCATCGCAGAACAAGTGGCTGGCTAGAACATACTCCAAATGTTTGCTTTCTCGTCGAGTGAAATTCATGCCTGCGAAGGTGTCTGTATTCTGGCAGGGACTGGAAAACAGATTACAATACGTATATTTATTGTCAACTCACTGCAGCGATTCAATACAAATGAATCAATTTCGTTCTGAGAGCGGCCCGGCGCGGGCGGCCGTTTGCGTGGAGTCGACGAGACGACGGACGAGCGATCGGCTCGCATCCGTCTAACACAAGTCATCTGGCACAGTTCACAGACAGACGAGAAAATAGAGAACAGCGCAGCGGAGATAGATACATCTGCTCCAGTCCAGCGCAGCAGGGATAGACAGGCGTGTTAAGAAATAGAACAACCAAGGACAGACTCGAGCGGTCGCTACAACTACAAATTCGATACTTATAAGTGAGAAGCTTAGAAGGCGTATAGCAATTAAACAAATAGAATATTAATGCCGCAGTAAGCGGAAGAGAAGCGAAGTGAAAGAATATAGGCGGGTGTTTCGAAGATAGGCTGGGTATAGCTCGGATGGCGGGTTTATTCAGCGGCGGGAGCTGGCGCTTCGGCGGGCGCCGCCTCCGCTGGGGCCGCCTCTGCTGGGGCCCCCTCCGCTGGGGCTTCCTCCGCTGGAGCTGCCTCCGCTGGCGCCGCTTCCGCTGGGGCCGCCTCCGCTGGCGCCTCGGCGGGCGCCGCGTCAGCGGCGGGCGCGTCTGCCGGCGGGGCGTCGGCGGGCGCCGCGTCGGCCGGGGCGGCGCCGTCGGTGGTGCTGGTCTCGGCGGCCGGCGCTGCTGGGGACAGGCGGACAGACGTCACCGTCACTGGCCGTCAGGTGACGGCGCCGGCGTCCGCTTGGCACGGCCGGACGCTATTTGCGGCCCGGCCGGTCCAGCGGCGTCTTATTGGGGCGGGCGCGCAATGCGTCATCCGGCGGAGGACAGGCGACGAAAATGGCCACCGGCGCCAGAGCGGGCGGCCGGGCGGCGGCGGACCCTCGCAGAGGTCACCGCAGCGCCGCCACGGAAACTGATCAACATATCAACACTTCGCGTGGCCGAGAGCCCAGTCATGTTTCATCGAATTAATGATAGTCCATAAGTAGCCCGCGCTGATTGAAACTGATAATCATGTGATGACTGGTCAAGTGAGGAAGATTGACGATAGTGACCTGATGAACGGTGACGAATAATGACACGGCCTCGAGTGACGCCAGAGCTGAGTTACGTAACGTCCCCGGTGACTCCGTGGTATGCTTACCTTCGGCAGGGGCGGCCGACTCCGCCGCGCCCTCCTCGCCTTCCTGTGGACACAGACGCGGTCGGTGAGCTCTCGGAAACGGTACAACACGGGACAGGAACAGTATCAGACGCTCGTTAGATAGACGGTACTTTGTACCTTATTCATTCCTGTCTGAAACAGACGGTGAAAAATATGCCTTTTATTTGACTCGGTGAAGTCTGAGAATCGCACATCGGCAGCATTGAAATCACTAGCCGGAGGAGATTTGGTCTGTTCCGTACACCCGTCCTGAGGTGCCCGTCACGGGACGCCGGGCCTGCTGTCGCCGCTGGTCTCACCTTCTTTTCAGCACCTTCTTCTCCCTCTCCTCCTTCGCCGCCCTCGCCGCCTTCCTCGTCGTGTTTCGGAGCCCACTCGGGCTTACCGGCCTGCAATCACACTCATGTTAGGTGGATACATTCATAAGACAGATAGAGCGTCATGGATTGCACTTGCTGCGCTGAACTGAGTTTGAGATTGAGACTGACCTGCTATAGCAGTTGCTACAAGTTATACAACTGGATTTACGTTGCGAGTTGATCGAACTCATTCTCTCTTGCATTCAGAACAGAAGATGTTACAGAAGAGAGGTGTAAGATTTGATGTGACGGATAGAGACATGCATTGAGATCCAGCTCGCACAGTAGTATGGAAACCGTTAGCATGCAAATCGTTGACAGTATGCTCGACTGGGCACTTAGAAAGCGCTCGGTTGTGCCGTTGTATCATCGCAAAAGTTGCGAAAAGAAATTGAAGATAAAAATGGCGCATAGCTCAAACAGTTTGTTAACGTCGTTAGTTCACTGAATTTCTCAAACGTAAAAGGAAACTTTCAAATTTGTTAAAATGAGCCTGGAGATGGCCAAAGCGACAGAGATCGATCGGTAACGGCGTTACACGATTCGTTTGTTACAAGCTGTTGCAATATTTAGCTTTGTTCACAGTAAAACACTTGTTAGCTGCAAGAGATTTGGTAAAACTGACCTGTTTCTTGCTCTAGTTTTGTCAAGTCTACATCATGTATGCATAAGCTGTCAGTGTTTTACTACGGTGCGCGTAAAATTATCGTATATTTATTTCGCCAGACGACGAGCACCGATGCGAGTAGAAAATTACGCTATTGACCGAGCAGTGGGCGGAAACGGCGGCCGCAGTGCTCTGCAGCTGCGCAGTGCCCGGCGCAGTGGAAACGGCCGGCGGCCGGTGCAGTGGACCGACCGCTGCCGGGACGGCCGTCGGCCCGTGCAGTGGACGGCCGGTCGGCCCGCGCCACCAGACGGCGGCGCCGGCGGGCCGCGGGACGACGGGCGCGGCGGGGACAGGGTGGCGGGACGCGCGCGGACGCTCACACAGCCTTCTTCTGCTGCCATTCGGCCTTCTCCTTGACCTGAAAACAGAGCTGCCGCTCAGCGGTCCGCCGACGGACCGGGCCGGTCGGCAGGGTACCGCCGCCGCTGGGCGCCAGCCAGCGCTATTTCGAGCCCGCTCGGCACTGACGCCCGAGCGGGCCGAAAGCGGCGCGCCGGCCGCGCCCAAACTGTGTACACTGGCTCAACAGGCGGGTGGGCGGGCGGAGCAGCGCACTATTTACGGGGCGGTCTAAAGGGCGGTCTGCACACCCACCGGCCGATCGGCGCTGAGTGATGCAAGATCACCGAGCGCGGCTGCGGGCGGGCCGAGCAGCTTCGGTCTCCGGTCCGAGAGTTTGTGAATGGCCCGGACTGACTGCGTCCACCAGCCGGACAGCCGCGGGGCCGTGAATTTGGGGTGCACTTAGCTCAAATGACGTGAGGAAGAACCTGGGCCAGCGTCATCCGTCTATTTTTAGTCGTGAGATCATGTCTTGTTGGAGCGGTTACAGCTGGTAATCGAGGCGATGACGCTGCCAGGCGCTGGTACGGTACCGTTTTTTAGAACCTCAGACCGGAGACCGCATCAAAATGCGATATTTGCTATAAGGGACACACTTTCGGCTAGACTACACACTAACAGGTCTATTTCTGGTAATAGGTCGGCGAGTTCCAAGTATCTATTTCTAAGTCGGTGTCTCTATCTATTTCTATTTCTAAGCACCTAAAGACATAGGTAATATGGTGGACTGTTCTAATGTCAGAAATGGATAACCAATTTTCTAAGAACGCAGCTACATTCTGGGACCATTCTTGAACGTGCTTAGGAAGATGAAGACATTTGCATGATAAACTACTCTAATGGCGGCGATATGCCGGGTCACTCTCTGGAAATGCAGCTAGAGTTACGTTCTGGGACTGTCCCCGTCATCCGTTCGGCAGCGCCTCCCACCGGCTTCCGACTTACGTCCTTTTCGTCGTCGTCGAGGGTGAACTCCTTCTTCTTGACCTGCTTCAACTGGTTGCGGAAGTTGAACTCAGCCGCCTTCTTCTGGAGCTTGGCGAACTTGTTCTCGTATTTGGACACCTTCTTCAGTGTGGGCTTGATGCTGGAACAGAGAGGGACAGCTGTGTTGATTCCGCTCTTTGGAGATACAAATTGCCAGTCGCCGGGCTCGTTGGCAGCTCATAAGCTGCCGATCTGTCGAGAGCTGGCTTTAAAGCCGAGCCGACGTCGTGGTGTTTATGTTATCATCGACGATTGACGCTAACTGGGAGAAAACTTCACACTTTGATTTATCACGATCTGCTGTTGAGTTAGCTTTTTCTCAGCCGGCACGGTCTTCAGGGAACAAAGCTACGTTGGAAACTCTGAGGCGACATCAGCCGCTCACCCAGCGCTACAAAGTCTACAAAGTCTACAACGCTACAAAGTCGCTACAAACCCCTAAGTTGTAACAGTTTGATATAATGTTTGTTTAGATGCTGCTGCATTTGTATCGTGACTCACAATTTTCCCCGGAGGTCGTTGACGGAAATGTTCAGCTCGTTGATCTGTAAACAGAGGA